CTCTGCAATTTTTTCGACTACCAAGGAAGGGGCTCCTAAAAAATTGAACCGCTAGCGAGGGGGGCTGCTAAAATTTCAAGCTTCGAGTTTCAGTATCTTCATCCTCCCCCCCTTGTCATATTAAATGAACTTTCCCTAAGTGGTATTTACGGATTAACGGAACAGCGTTTTGAAGCTAGAAGTCAGTTACACTTTTCCAAAATGACGATGTAACATGGCAAGACCAAAAAAGATGAATTAGCGTCTCTGAGAAATTGTTGCAAAAGGTACAGTTGTCATTTACTTTTCGTCCTGATTTAAGTAAGAAATCATTGGTTGGTATGCGCCTATGTAATAGTTCGAATTGGAACTCTATCAGTTTGGTTCTTTTTGTGTACCGTTGCGCCATAAGATAGGCAAGTTCCCAATTAATTGTTCCTTCTTCGTCTGAGAAATTACAGTCTTGAAGCCATTTTAGTTGGCTTTTATGTGGGGTTAAACTTTTGGTTCTGATCAGTTTTTGGTAAATTTTCGCTCCTAACAAGAAGAGAAATTTCGTATCTCCAAGCGGTCATGTAATGTTCTATTTATTACATGAACACCAATGAAATACCAAACCATTTCACTTTAATAATTTTTTGGTGTGAAAGGCGCGATTTATTATGTAGCCATAGAAACGGTGATATTTTTAGATGTGAAGATAACCCTAACCCGTTGTCTCCTTCCCGCCTTCCTTTGCGCGCACATCGAAGAGAGACGTCTGGGTACGAGGCAGCATTTGTTGGACTTTAGTAAATTCGCACTTTTATCGTCTTGAAAAGCCTTTTTTCTTTATAGACCATAGCTTAAGATTTTTTCTAAGCCTTTTTTACTCAAAAACGAACTGGAAAAAATTTTCGATGTTTTGACCAAAACCATGGGTTATTAAATAAACCCCTTTGGAAAATACCCATTTTTTGGACTTTACAAAATTGACATTTTTACTGTTCTGAAAGGCTTTGTTTCTCTTCAGACCATAGGTCAACATTATTTCTAAGTCTGTTTTTTCAAAAAATAAACGAGAAAAAAATTTGGTTTTTTTGACCGATACCATGGGTTAACCCCTTTGGAAAAGACTCATTTTTTGGACTTAAAAAATTGACTTTTTTCTCGTCATGAAAAGCCTTTTTTTTTTCTAGACCATACCTTAACATTATTTCTAGGCCTATTTTACTCGAAAACAAACTAGAAAAAATTGTGGATTTTTTTCATCAAAACCATGGTTAAACCCCTTTGGAAAATACCCATTTTTGGACTTTACATAATTAACATTTTAACTGTTCTGAAAGGCTTAATTTCTCTCTAGATCAGAGTTTAATTTTTTTTTTTAGCCTATTTTACTGAAAAAGAAATTAGAAAAAAATTTTGGATTTTTTGACCAAGAGGATGGGTTAATCCCTTTGGAAAATACTCATTTTTTGGACTTAAGAAAATTGCATTTTTCATCGGCATGAAAAGCCTCTTTTATTTCTCCTTAACATTATTTCTGGGCCTGTTTTACTCAAAAACAAAGTAGAAAAAAATTTGGATTTTTTGACCAAAACCATTGGTTAACCCCTTTGAAAAATACCCATTTTTTGGTCTTTAGTAAATTCGCACTTTTTATTGCAGAAAGAAATAGGTACTTCCAAACATCGAAGGTTTCAAATTTAAAGTAAGAACTAAATACCAAGTTGAAAAATATATTTCCACTAAGAATAATAAATTAGAAACCTTATATGAAAAATGGCCAAAAGACATTTCTCCCCTTTAATTAAGTTCGTGAGTATGTAATTAAAATTGTAATCTTTTATTAGACACTGTTTTTGTTTTTTGTTTTTGTTTTTTGTGTGTTTGTGTTTTATTTTAGAGCGTACTGTAAATATTAAGTGTTAATCTCTCTTTTATCTACATAATTAAGTATTAATTAATTCTTTGTAAAATAAGCCTCATTCGGTAATTGCGCGCCTGTTTTGTGGCTGTAATGTATATAATTGTGAAATGTAGATAATTGTAAGTATGTCTGTTATTGCGGTTGTTTAGAACATTGTAATTAGTTTCTTTTTAAGTAGTTCTTTGTAATTATAGTAATAAATGTCTTAAATAAAAAAAAAACATTGCACTTTTATCGTCATGAAAAGCCTTTTTTGTTTATAGACCATAGCTTAACATTATTTCTAAGCCTATTTTACTCAAAAAAAAAAAAAACTAGAAAAATTTTCGATTTTTGGACCTAAGCCATGGGTTAACCCCTTTGGAAAATAACCATGTTTTGGACTTTACAAAGTTTACATTATCATCATCTTAAAAACCTTCTTTTCTTTCTAAATCATAGCTTAACATTATTTCTAGAACTATTTTACTAAAAAATAACCTAGAAAAAAAAGTGGAGTGTTTTGGCCTAAACCATGGGTTAAACCCTTTGGAGAATACCCATTTTTTGGACTTTACAAAGTTTACATTTTTATCATCATAAAAAGATTCTTTTCTTTCTAAACCATGGCTTAACATTACTTCTAGGACTATTTTACTGAAAAGTAACCTAGAAAAAATTTTTGAGTTTTTGGCCGCAACCAGTGGTTAACCCCTTTGGAAAACACCCATGTTTTGGACTTTAGAAAATTGATATTTTTATGGTCATAAAAAGCTTCTTTTCTTTCTAGACCATAGCTTAACATTATTTCCAGGCTTATTTTACTCAAAAACAAGCTAGAAAAAATTTTGGATTTTTTGACCGATACCATGGGTTAACCCCTTTGGAAAAGACTCATTTTTTGGACTTAAAAAATTGACTTTTTTCTCGTCATGAAAAGCCTTTTTTTATTTCTAGGCCTACTTTACTCAAAACGAAGCTAGAAAAAATTTTGGATTTTTTGACCAAAACCATGTGATAACCCCTTCGAAAAATATCCATTTTTTGGACTTTACTGTTCTGAAAGGCTTATTTTTGTCACTTTACGAGAGCGTAACATTATTTCTAAGCCTATTTTACTAAAAAACAAATTCCAAAAAATTTTGGATTTTTTGACCAAAACCATGGGTTAACCCCCTTGGAATTGCATATTTTTTTAGGCCAGAAACCACTCCTACGTTTCGAAAAAATTTCTAAACATTATTTGACGATTTTCATTTTTTGCCCAATAAGAGAACATGAAAAAACATCCCATTTCTTGACCAAATCATGGGTTTTCTTCTTTGGAAAATATGCAAACATGCGACTTTTTGAAGTGTATATTTCTATAGGCTAGAAACGATTCTTTTCTATCGAAAAGATTTCCAAACATTATTTCAAGATCATTTTTACCCAAAAACAGGAAATGAAAAAAGTTTTATTTTTTGACCAAAATTAAGGGGTAACCCCTTTGGAAAATATTGAAAAATGTGACCATCTGAAGTGCATATTTTTATAGGCTAGAATAGATTCTTTTCTATCTAAAAGACCTTCAAACATTATTGTCAAGATCATTTTTGCCCAAAAACAGAAGATGAAGAAAATGCTAGTTTAATCCCTTTGGAAAATAGGCAAATTTGCCACTGTATGAAGTGTATAGTTTTTAAAGGGTAGAAACGGTTTTTTTGTCTATCGAAACCTTTAGAGCTATTATTTCTAGGCAGTTTTTCTCAAACACATAAAATGAAAAAGACTGAATTTTTTTAACCAAAATTTTGCGACTATCTGAAATGCATGTTTTCATAGGCGAGAAAACGATTCTTTTCTGTCAAAAACGTCTTCAATTATTACTTCTTAGAATTTAGAATTCTTGCTTACTTAGCGAATATTGTTTGCCCCTATGGCTTTATAGCCCGTCTTTAGAAACCTTTCGCTGGTTGCCACTATGATGCTTTTATATTATGTGAAAGCAATTTACTTCAAATGCTCCGACTGACGTTTGCACTATCAGAAATATTTTCCGTCCAATATGCCTGAAACTCTTCAAGCTCCTGTTCGTCAACATATCTCGGGTGCTTACTGAGGTTGCACAAATCCATCAAGACCAAGAACTTTTAAAGAGAAGCTTGAGCAAAAGTTCAAGAATCTGTTGAATTTGAGGTGGTAGAATGATTGTATGTTGTGTAGGTGTTAATATCATGACCACACCCGATGCCATATTTTTCTTGAAAAAGGACTGTGCTGTTTGTTGAATGCTTGTTGCTTATGTTAACTTACGGTTGTGTTCAGTTCAGTTTCAGCCGTAGAACGTCGGTCGTTAGACGTAGGCCTTCGACACTGACCTCTACTGAACTACTTTTTGTGCGACACGGTTACAGGTTTTGGAAACCATCTAAGTCTTCCCTTCATCTCGTCCTTGGTTTTCCTCAGTTCCTTATATGTCCTAGGCGCGTCCTGAACGTAATGCTGATTGTCCAACGGTTGTCTGTTCTTCTCGCCAAATAACCAGCCCAGTTCCATTTGAGTATGCTTATTATTTCCATGATATCTGGTACTTTGGTTTCTTCTCGGATCCAATGAGCTGTTTTACGATCTCGCCATGATTCTCACATGCGCTCTCTGCATAGTTCTGAGTTTCAAGATTTGTTGTTTCGTAAGATTCCAGGTCACTTATCTGTAGGTGACTGTTGGTAAGATGCACTGATCGTAAACCTAGGGTTTGAGGACGATTGCAATGTCTTTGAAGATTGCACTCGCTCGAGTATGCGTATACACCTATTTCAATTGAAGTTGCTCCCGTCAACCATGTTTCATAGCCTGCAGTGCACTATGGTAAACCCTTTTGTAGCGGGAAGTTTAGTCTTGTTCACGTTCATTGAAATAATGGAGACCATTTGTGAAAAGGCGTTCAAGACAGCATGAGCGAGCTGAAAAATTTTCGTAGTAAAAAATTAGAAGCCTCTTCTTTTAACAACATTAAATGAATAGGCTTTTACCGCCTGATTAAACTGCGTTTTTACATAGGCCAGAATGCTAGTTATTTCAATAAAGCAAATCAACGCTGTTCTTTTTTTATTCAGTTTTAAGAAAATTTGCTCAATAATAGATTAACATGTAACGTGAAGTTATTTATTGTTGTTCAACAAAAGCCTTAAATTTGATTTTTTTAAACTCCATCCAAAATTCCCACGTGCACGAGCCAAGCAAACTCGTTGAAAATTTGCAGGATTTGCATATTACCACAGAGAAAAACCTAACCTCAAATCACTGTCTTAAATGAAAAAGCCTAGGATACAGTGTTTTGAAATACATTGTCTTAACGTTCTGCTGACATAGCATAGAAGCGTCAGCAGCGTTTGCTTTCTAGGTTTCTAGGCTCTTTGCGGGTACATAATTTACTAGACTTGCTACAATAATGCACCGTGGGTTATGAAACATGGATCATGCATCATTCTTCTCTGAAGCAACCTTAATTGAAATAGGTGTGTGTGACCGTATATGTGAAGTAAACAACAAATATACACCAATGAAGGTAGCCCGAGAAACAGCCGACATTTGGCGACGCAACCACTGGTTTTCCCGCCAAATGACGTCTGAGAAACGAGCACAGAAATTCCATACTGATGACGCGTCACTATCCAGATCTGGGTAGTGCTTCTCATTGGTTGAATCAAATTTCCCACGTGGCACGACCAATCAGAAGCACTACCCAGATCTGGCCAATGACGCCTCATCAGTATGGAATTTCTGCGCTCAATTCTCAGAGGTCATTTGGCGGGGAAACCAGTGGTAGCGTCGCCAAATGTCGGCTGTTTTCTCAGGCTTCAATGAAGGAAAACATTTTTAATTTCAATTTTTTGAACTAATGTACAAAGTTACAACTGTTAAATAATGGTTATTTTAAATTTAGACATAGTGTCTAAGCATATACGTTTATTTTTGGAGGGCTTGGAAAGAACCATCCCTGCTATACGATATAGCCAACTAGTGTACGTGTAGTAAGTCAAGTTTTCTCAGTCTTTCCCAAAGCACTGCTATTACTCATGGACCCAACCAAGCACACAGACAAATAGCCATGGGCATATTATACAGTTCACATCCCTGGCTGGAGGTGTACATTCTAAAGTCAATCTTAATTTATGTCGCCAAAACTTATAACCTATTCTGGGTCAACTGACCTCAGAGTAAATTGAAAGATATTGCTAAAAAACAAAGCAAGACTAAAATCTCGCAGAGTTGAGCTACCGCTTAGAACTGAAATAAAAGCGGTCAGACGGAGGCCAGAAAAAACCTGCCCTATTGCAAAAAACCCCGAGGGGAAGAAATGCGGGCAGGAAATCTGGGTAGGAACCAAGGCTCAAGCTCCATAGTCCTTCCTACGGGACTTTTACGTGGTAAAAAGAAACGGCCGCCTAAAACGAAGGTTACTTTTGAAGCATCCTATATTTATCGAAATGTTTTCTGTAAAAGTGAGTTAATCTTGATCGCATCTGCTGATATGGTTTTGAAGAGGACATAAATTCCTGCAGCATTTAAAGTTGCATATTCATTCACTTCTCTTTAGGGTCCAATCTTTCTGTTCCACATTCAGTGCCTTGTTCTTACAGTCCAGTTTTATTTCACAGAACAACAATTCTGATAAGTTCCGCTTCTCTGTTAGATGCGACACTATATTGGGGCTCAGGGTTCTCTTTCCTTGTTTGGCTGTTAATTAGGAGAAAGAAAATTAGAATTGTCCATTAATTATCGGATGTTAAGAATGTAAATGGCCGTATATGAGCATCCAGTGTTAACCACATCTATTGGTAGTTGGCATAGGTTATGTGGTGAACGTTACGTTAACATGAATTATCAACAACAATACAGTACGATTATCTAGGGCTAATTTGGACCCAAGGATTGAAATACGTCCCAGGATGGGCTGGAATAGGCTTTTTAAAGGGCTCTTTTTGGTTGAAATTGAGTTCAAATGGCTCCATGAAAGGCTGAATCAGACTTTGGTCTGCAGGGCCACTAAATTGAAACGTTGGTGTAATCTTTTCACCCCCTTCAACAGAATGTATCAAGCAACCCTCTCCAATTCTTGGTTTGCAGCCACGTGACAAGGCAGCCATGTTGAAGGTCAACACAATAGAATTTTTCTTGAAGAATTTACATGAAAACAGAGTTAAGTTACCAGAGGAGGGAAATGCTTTTGTTCTTGACCTCCAATATGGCCGCCGTGACGTCACGTGCAAACCAGCAATGGCCTCTCTTCTCCTTGGTATTTCTCCTTCAACAGTGACTGGAAAAAAGCCTCTCCCGGCCTTTTGACAGACATTTTACTGAGTAAGGTTTTTCCGTTATTTTTCTTGGCGAAAGACTTGTAAACTTACTTCGATTCGGTGTGGCCAATGTTTTATCCCTGATGTCCTTGTCCAGTTTACTAATCTTCCTCTTCCACTTTCTTACTCTTGTCCTTTTGCTTTGGCAGATCGTCATAAAACAAGGAAGCATTATAAATTAGCTTTTAAAACTCTGTAAACTGCCCACTTAGTCTCAGATCTAAAATAGCAATTGGACACTAACCACCACAATTGATTTGATTAGCTGTATTGGCAATAAAAAGGAGA